AATCAAGGCTCTAGATCCAACTACTAGTTTACAGGCAGCAGGGGACAGAGAACCATTCTAAACAACCTGATGGGGATGCAATCAGCAAACCCTGTTTGAATCGTGATGGAAGCAAAACAACTTTAAAAAGTTAGGATTCAGTTGGGCAAATTTGGATACTGACGAGATATTTGATGATATTAAGGAGCTATGGTCATTTTTTAGATGTGATAATGGTATTGTGATTATGTCAACTTTTAAAAAGGTCCTTATCTTTTAGAAACAAATAATGAAGTATTTACAGATGAAGTAATATAATGTATGGGACTTGTTTCAGAATCCACTGGGATAGGGGGCAAGATAGACAAAGCCAGACTGGTCATGCGTTGGTAACTTGAAAAGCTGGGTGATGATGACGGTTCCCTACATTGTTCTCTCTACTTTTATGTATGTGTGAAAGCTTCCATACTAAAACTATTCTAAATACTTTATGGGGGCTCCCTACCCCACTTTGCATGGCTTCTAAGACCCTTCATAATCTCACCTTCTGCAACTTCCATTTTTCCAGCAGCTTCCTCTGCTCCAGCCCCACTGGTCTTCTTGCACTTCTCCGAGGCTGCTGCCAACCATGTTCCTGCCACAAGGCCTTTGCACTTGCTGTTCCCTCCCGGATAGTTCTTCCCTCAGACATTTGCATGGCTTAAATTAGTTCTCTGCCCAAATGTCACCTTAGCAGAGAAGTCTTCCGTGATCGTCTTTTTGAAAGAAGGCAGAGCCCCCATCACTCTCTAACCTCTATCATGTCACGATTTGACATTAAATTATATATGTTTGTTTGTTTATTCATTGTGGAACAAAAGTCCCATGGAGGCCAGAGGTTGTTCTATTCTCCATCGGATCTGGCTCACAGAACTGAGCCTGGCACAGAATGAGTGAAAGAATAGTATTCATTTTTAGTATCTTTATTTGGGTACTAAACTATCAAGAGTTCTTCATAAAGAGAATTCCTAGGATCCTCATTGGCCTATTACCAAATGAGATTTATTAAGCCCAGAAAGCTAAAAAGTAGTGACATGATTCACTGAAAATATGAAATAAAATGGAGAGAAATACTCTTAGTGAAGACTTCTTACATATCTGTCTCCTGGTTGAAACGACAAGAAAGTTAACGTCTACTACATTCATGACACAAAAAGATAGTTGAGCCCTTTTTATACACTTCTGCTTTTATCATCTGTAGGCCATCTTTAAGATGAAGAAACTTCTTTATATTTTCTTGAGATAAACTTGTATTGACTTATCTCACTCACAAATATTTACTCCATACTCCCTATGCGTCAGGCACTGTGCTAGGCGCTGGAGTTACAAGGGTGGATCCAGACAGAACTGGGGAGAGCCAATCCTGGGAAGGGGGTAAACAAAATCCCTATCATTATTTTTGCCAACAGAAATTATTGATTGTGGAAAGTTTTATGATACCTACCCTTTAATTCAAAATGCTAGCAACATTGTTTACTATTATACACCTAGATTACATAAAATATGTTAACATTTTTATTCTCAGGTTATGGTTTTAAAATTTCATAGTAACAAATCAGGAAAACCATTCTGACAAGAAATTAGATATTTTCTTAAAACATAACTGAGCAATAAAATTGCACCACTGCATATTTTCTTCACAGCACTGCTGCTGTTTGCATACGGCAACATGATTGTAAACAGATGCTTTCTTAAGCCCAAGGAAGTACTCTGTTTTCCTTTCTCGCAAAAGCCTAATATTTTTCCTACTCGTTTTAATAGTAAAGATACAAATTTAAGAGGTCAAGACAAATGCCAGGCTCCAGAATTTTATAGTGTTATTTTATGATAACATTGACTATTATATTTCTACAGTGCACAATGTGTACACTATGATTATTAGATTAATAGCACATTCCATCATTTTTTAAAAAGTCTGGGTGAGGAGAGATAAGGAAAGCCAAAGTGAATTTGCTGCACCTGTTATCTGTGTATTTGGCATTCTTAACCAGCTCCACCCCCAAGAAGCCAGATTAATAGATGACAGGGGGAAAAATGGAAATTGCATTATCATCTTCGACATGCTAATATGCATGGGTGCTGAAAATCCAATCGAAAGGGGTCTGGCTTATTAACTGTGGCATGCTGCAATTTACATATCTCACCCTCCAGATGTGAGGAGGGTAAATGAGAATGGAGTGTGCTCAGATCAGCAGGGGATAAGAAGGAAAAAATACGTATGTATTTTGGCTATCATTTGGCCAACTGAAGAAACAGTGACACTTAGTGAAATGATTGACTCTTCTTTTTCCTGAAATAAATCTGGCTCTCGTTACTCCTCTGCTGCTCTCTGGAGCAGGGCAGGAGACAGCACACCTAATCCTAGCCAGTCATTCTGTGCATGGCCCTGTCGGCTTTCCAACAGTGAGGACAAATGCAGATACTGAAAAGGCAACATCAGTCTCAGACAGCAAAAGGAGAAAACATTTCTGTGTTTAGAAAAATGAATTCTGTAAATTATATTACAGTTTAGAGTCCACAAACTTTTAGTGTATCCATAATTGGGCAGTTAAATTTCTCCTAGATAACCATTATTGTCACTGCTACCTCATACATGCACATGGCCTTTGATAACTTCCGAATATTTAGAAGAAGCAACAGTATAACAACAATTGACTCAGTTAATATTTCTTAGTTAGGGGTTTCCCAATAGACATGCAATGTTGGATAAATGGAATGGTAAGAGGGAATAAAAGATCTAGGAGTAAAATAAGCAGCTACAAAATATAGCCAAGTAATAATCCTCAATCGGAATATTATTATTTTGTATTTATAAACTAAATATCCATATACCTAAAATACATTTCAACAATTTATTTGCTTTATAGATAACCAGTAATAAAGCCTCTCTCTCTTGCCTTTCAGCCTTTGATTATGGAAAATTTAAGACATAAAAAACAGAAAAAGAAAGAAAACAGAATAGTATAACAAACCCCAATGTACCCATCACCCAGATTCAACAATTATTAATATTCTGTTATTCTGGTTTCATCTATACCTCCACCCACCCCCCGTCTATTGTTACACAGGTTTTTTTAGGTTAAAAATAATACTACTAATAAAATTTATAATATATATATAGTAAAGCACAAATATTAAGTGTACATTTTCGACGCATGAAGTTATTCATGCAATCCACATATAACTCTCACAATATAGAACATTCCATTTTCTCAGAAAGTCCCATGTGTCCCTTTCCCAGTCAGACTATCTGCAAGTAGAACAACAGTTATCCAACTGAAGACATATTTTATCCAACACAGGAGAAAATTAAGGAAATTCCTCAAATCCAACATGCTTTGTATTTCAAGCCACACAAAGGCTTGTAATTGGCTTCCTACAGACATGACGGTGTAGGAATCTAACATCAAAACTAAATCCAGGCGCTGTTCTCTTTATGGATAGCTTTCAGATACAGAGCATCCAGAAAAAAACACGTACTTCAACAGTATATAACAAAAAAGCCCTACATCTGAAGTTATCTATCTTTTTATTTATTTCAATAGTACCCCAAACAAAATTGTAGGTTAATAAATACAACCCAAGATAGAAACAGTCATACCACAAAGTGACAAAACAGCAGTATTATTATAATGGAATTTTAACTACTCACTACAGTGAGTATATGCTTGACAGATCACATTAAATTTTCTATTCTGCTCTCCAGAAAAGTAGTAACAACAGCAGTAGTAGCAGGACTACTGGCAGTGACATTAACAGCAGCTACTAAGTATTAGTGGTAGAGAAGCAGGGACTCAAAGCTGGTTCTGTCTGACGCCACTACACTCTGTTGACTCCAACCATAAGGGCATAATACAGATAAGCACGCACCCTGTTAACATTAAATAACCTGCCACTTTGTTATGCCTATTTAAGTCTTGTTTTCCATCCTCGCTCCCTCAGTCATGCTAGTAAAACCCCTTTCTTCCTTACTAGTCCTCACTTAGGACCACAGAGAAGAAAACTTGACCAACAATCGTACCCTCTTGGAGAAGGGCTGGTGGAAGCCTCCACCCTCAGCCCCCCTTATCTGTTCCTTCCCTCCCAGGAGGAAGTGTAATTTCTGTGACTGAGGACAGTCTGAGAATGGGCTAGATTCCCAGTTGTGGGTGGTGCTGAGGGAATGCAAGCTCTTTCTAGCCTGCCTGCGTGTAGACAGGGGTCAGCAGACTGGGCAGGTCTCTGCTCTCAGCTCCAACTTCTCTGCTCGTGCGTGGGTGGGGCTGCAGGCGAGGTCAGCCCTTTACTGAGAACCAGTTATCTACTAGTCACTGAGGAGCAAGAGATCCCATTTGGGTCTCAGGTCCTGGCCATATTCTCTGCCATTAATGAGGCTGATACTGTGATCAATATCGGGGTCTTGGGTCTTATTCCCAAACTAGTTAGAATCTGGGGAGAAGAGATGTAACCAATCAGTGTCCCAAACTTCCAAGAAGCCATAACCTTCCTTTATCCTTTGTCTTAGCTCATAGCATCTGGACTACACCTTTTTCTTTTTGGTGTCCCTCTAGCTGTATACTTAAATACAAACATGCTGGGGTAGGGGCGGTAGAGGGGGAGCGTCCAGCAGGATTATCCTTCCTTATACCCTGGTTACTGATAGCTCATACAAGCCCTCAGCACTGTTTGACAATTCTTTCCTTATTCCCAGTGGTGCACCATCCCCTCTTCTTACCCACCTTTATCACTTCTCTTGTCACTACCGCCATCACCGCCAAGGCCATCTACACCACCAACACCAACACCACCATCAATGACAATCCCACCACCATCTACACTGCCAACACCACTACCACACCATCACCAACACCCACCAATACCAACACCACTAATACCAACACCACCACTAACAACACCCCCAGTATCTCCATGAAAGTTCAGAATTGCATTGCAAACTACTAGTGACAAGTATTCAACTGATTTCTTGCCAGTGCTGCTGTTACCTTGTTCTCCTCTGGAGTGAAGAGGATTCGGAATATGGATGGCACTCCTGGAGCTACTTTGTGGCCAATATCTTTGGGGCTGATGACTCTAAAGTAAGGTGAACTTTCCTCCACCACTTTCACCATCCTTGGAATCTGTAGGGAAAACACATGGTGATGGACATTGTGCATGGGAAAAAGCAGAAGGGGAAAAAAGCACAGGCTTTGGAGTCAGACTGAAATCTCTGCCAATTACTTATACGATGTGTGACCTTGCTCAGGTCTGAACTTCAGTTTCCTCAACTGTAAAGGCGCCTATAATAGTACCTATCCTTATCTCATACAAAGTAAGTACTCAATACATTCTAGCTTTAATTTTTAACATTATTATTCATTTTTATCATTATTGAAAGTCTTTGTTCTTTTTTATTTTATTACTTAAATGTGACTATCTTTAAAGACTAACTGCTTAAACAGCTAAAATCCCACCCACATAGCAGAGTCAAGCTGGATTTCCCAACACTTGAGAGCTGCTCTGGGAGAAGAAATCATGCTCACCGCACTCCTTCAGCTGTCCCTCCCCTGGGTGTGACATACCACCTCATCCTCCCAGTAACCTCTGAGCTGCATTATGACTCCCAGTCCACAGATGAAGAAACGGGCACCTGCCCAAAGGGGTACGGCTCCAGCATGCAGGGGTGCTGGGAATCAGGTCCCAGCCAGACTCCACCCTGCCTCTCTATGGATCGTCCTAAGTAAACTCCACTATGAAGCAAGAACAAAGAGGGCAGTATGATATCCCCTAGGCCCCTCTCAGAGCAGCTTCAAAGAGTTCCATTCTGTAAATCTTATTCCTTTGCTCTGTTTGCCTGACCCAGAGCAACATATCTGTCTCAGCAGGAGCAATAAAAGAAATGCAGGTATAAGGAGAGTGGGGGTGGTTGGGGTGGAGGATCTGTGGACACAAGAAAAAGGGGAGGATTTTTTTTTAAGAGACTCAAAAGGCCAGAAGAAAGTTAACTATAGTTAGTCACCTAGAAGTCTCAAGTGGAAAATGAGGAAAAAAGAAATCCTATAACCTCTAAAAGCTGTAACCTAGATGGGGAAGGCAAGAAGAGATGCAGAAAGTGTTCAGACAGATCTTAAGATTAGAAAATTTGTGTGAAGATCTGAGAGGAACAGAATGGACCTTGCTGGTGATGGGAATGTGCGGTGGATTTGTGATGTGCTGAATGGTACTATGTAAGTTTGCTGGGGATACTTTTTGTTAAGTGTATAATTGCTGATTAACAACTAGAAAAGAAAACAGCAGCAGCACTAATAATAATATAACAATAATATTGGTTTAGCGCTTGCTACGTGACAGACACTGAGCTGAACACTTGACGTTCATTATCTCATTTCATATTCAAGGCAATCTATTGAAATAGGTACTATTATTATCCCCATGGCTGGAGAAGTGGAGTGACTTGCCCAAGGTCTCCAGCTGGGAGACAGCATAGATGAGTCTGAGTCTGGAGTCTGGGTTCTTAAAATTGTATCTCAAGTAGAATTGTTTTGTGGCTTATCAAGTATTCCTGGCTTACTTCCACCCTGTGTACGTGAGACGAAGGAATAATGACCAAACAGGGTCTGTCTTTTGCACTGCATGCCTGTGAGGAAGCAAAGAAAAGGCGAATGGCACAGAAAGCATTTCTTGGTTCCCTAAATCTCTCCCAGTGGGTCCTTATGGACGATGAACTAAGGAAGTAGAGAGCAGGCTTATATGAGCCACCCTGTACGAGGGTCCTGCAGTAACTCCCCTGAGAACAAGCTTGCCTAGCCTAGAGAAAGCTGTCTGCTTGCTGGTGGCTGGGCAATCCCTGGATGGGGGCCCTCTTTCCATGGGGCCAACACTCTGGCTGCGTCTTACTGAGAGGTGTTGGATTATCCATGAGAACTCAGTGCCCATTGGCAAACAAAACTTACACATGCCCCTTACCCTTGATTTGCTCATATACAACCACTAATAATATTTCATGTTCAAGGTCAGGGAGGATTGGCCAAAGGACCCTTTGGACTAGCTCTTCTCTGCCTTTAGTAGCCTAAAAATACCTCAACAAGAGTCAAAAAGTAATGGAGAAGGGAAAAAGAGAATTGTAAGTGAGAAACTGAATGGGTTGGCAGACCTACATGAAAAGATAGAGTCCTAATGTCTATGTAATGCACCTCTTCTTGAAGTCTAGAAACAAACCCCTGAATACCTTGGATTCTTTTTCTTCTCTTTGCCTACCCTTTCAGCTTCTGTCCCATGAGCTTCTCTTTCTAACACCACTGAAGCAAAAAATTAAATATACCATTTTCTCCAGAGTCTGACTTTGCTGTCACTAAGTCACCCCATTGATCTCTGAAAAGCATCGCTGATTCCTTTAATGAGCTACTTACTGTACCAAATATAACCGCAGGTCTTCCCATTTACTATGGATTCTTGAATAGTCTTTACTTATTTTCTCTTTCTCTTATAGTTAGAATTTTTTCCTCCATGTCCCTAGGCTCCTGTAAACATTCCTACTTGTCTTTACACCCGAAGTTTAGCACCTTTCAGATGCCTTTCTCCCCACCTAATGACTTTTCACACTGAACTGTGCTTCACACTGGCCTTCCGCATTATTCCTTGTTCATTATTATTAGATGTCAAGGAAATCCTCAGACATTAAATACCTTTTTCTTGAAATAAATCTTAATTTATCTCTGAAGAAAAGGTCATAAGACTGGAGAAGAAACACTCAGGTGCAATCACAAAGAGACAAGGTACAGACAGTGAGAGAAGCCTCCCAAAACGATCTGTAGACAAAACCTGAAGGCCATCTGATACACAAGGGAGGAAACAGAAAAGGGGGAAAGGGATATACATTTTTTAGAAGAGAAAAGAAGTTTTAAAAAAGTACAATCTGTAGAATATAAACACATTTCAGAATATAAATATAAACGTTCAACAATTGCAGTTCATATGAATAGAGTTCATACCTTGAATTGGAGAAATGGTGTCTCTAACGTAGAGTACATAAGCATTAATAGTAATTGCCCTGTCTTAGATGAAAACCTAACCCATGCCATTCATCTGATCAATGCTTTATTCAACAAAAAGTTAGTGCACATGTTAAAAGTTCACTATTTATTGAGCACTGCACTGGGACTGAACATATAGCAACAAACAGACTAGCATTGTCTTCGTGAAGCTTACAATCAAAGGGCATGTTTTCATGCCATTTTCCTAAGTCTATCAAATTAAAGAACTTATCTAAGATCCTGCAGGATCCCATTTTTCTTGACCCCTTCTCATATATCCTGGAAAAGTTCACCTACCCCAGCAAGCATACTCACCTTGTCATTGTTCCTCAAAACCAGAGGAACTTCATAGACTTCACAGGGAGTGTAGTTCTGAAACACAATTTCTGATGGAAAGGGCTGGAATAATGCCTGATCCAGGTCAATTCCTGAAAACTGAAGTCGAAAGAGTAAATTTTTCATATAGTCACACAGTGGCAAAAATGCCCAGGGGAGATAAGAAAATACTACATATTTTTATTTATTTATAATCTTAGCATAACCTCCTTCATATACCTGAGAAAGACAGTAAGAGAAAGAAACATTATAGGCCAATCTCATTCATGAACCATGGATACAAAAAAAAAAAAAGAAGGGACAAAATATTCGCAAAATGAAACCAGCAATACATGAAAAGGATAACACAATGTGACCAAGATAGATTTATCTCAGAAATTCAAGTTTGTTTTTGTATTAGAAATCAATCAAAAAGAAACAAAACTGCAATTTTCCACAGAAGAAATAATCATTTATTTAGAAACTTCAAAATAATCTACAAACAAACTACTAGAATTAACAAGTGATTTATCAATGTCATTGAGTATAAGGCCAATATACACAAACCAATTATATTCCTATGTATTAATAATGAACATTTAGGAAATAAAATTTAGAAACAATACCATGTAAAATAGCATCCCCAAATGTAAAACACATAGGAATAAATCCAGTGAAAGATGTGTAAGAACTTTACCCAGAAACTACAAAATATTATTGAGAGAAAATAAAGAAGACCTACGTGAGTACAGGAATATATTATTGTCATAAATTGAAAGACTCAATATTTTAGGGATGTCAAATACTCCCCAAATTTATCTAAAAATTGAACGCAATCCTATAAAAAAGTCCCAGCAGAATTTTTTTCAGAAATTAAAAAGCTGATTATAAAATTTATATGAAAATGCGAAAGACCAAGAATAGACAAAATCATTTGAAGAACAATATAGGAGGACTTGCTGTATCAGGTAGTAAGATGTTATAATTATATTATTATATATCATATACTGTCACTTATCACAGCAATTAAGATAATAAGATATTAGCATAAGACTTACTATAAAAACAAATGTAACAGATTAGAAAGCCCAGAAATCAATTCTTCAATATATGGTCATTTGATTTACGACGAAGGTAACACTAAAAAATACTGGGAAGGGAGTTCTAAAAGTGATTTCAATAAATAAGGCTGAGTTAACTGAACAGTCCATATGAAAATGAATTAATTTAATCCCTATTCACACTATTTCAGGTGCATCGAAGCCCTCACTGTGAAAGGTAAAACAACAAAATTTTTAGAAGAAAACCTAGGGGAATATCTTCATCATCTTGAAGAATACAAAATTTTCTTTAATGAGACATAGAAAATACAAAACATAAACTAAAAGATTGATAAATTAAGTTATTTTGAAATGTAAAAGATATGTTTATCAAAGTATACCTAGAGTGGGAGATCATTTACAATACTTATAATTGATAAAGGACTACTCTCCAAAATATATGAAGAACTCCCACAAATCAGCAAGAAATGGATAAAAAACACAAACACAATTTACAAACAATGATATTCAAATGGATAATAAACACATGGAAAATTACAAGTTAAACCACAGTGTGAGAGCATTACACACACAATAAAGATATTTAAATTAAAGATACTGACAACAGTAAGTATTAACAAGAATGTACAGCAACTGGAATTCTCATACATAGTGAGTGGGAATGTAAATTAGCACAAACACTTTGGAAAACTGACAATTACCTACTAAAGTGAAATATATGCATAGCCCATGGCCTAGAAATTCCACTTTTATGTACAGTTAACCCTTGAACAATGTGGGGGTTACGGGCACACAGTAAAAAATCTGCATATAACTTTTAACTCCCCCAGAATATAACTACTAACAGCCTACTGTTGACTGGAAGCCTCACCTATAACATAAACAGCTGGTTAACATAAATTTTATATATGTATAATATACTATATTTGTATAATAAAGCAAACTAGAGAAAAGAAAATGTTATTAAGAAAATCAATATACACCCTAAAACAACAATAAAGAAAATATATGGGAAACACTCCAGGAAGTAGGACTGGGCACAGACTTCATGAATATGACCCCCAAAGCACAGGCAACCAAAGGAAAAATAAATAAATGGGATTATATCAAACTAAAAAGCTTCTGCACAGCAAAAGAAACAACAGAGTTAAAAGACAACCAACAGAAAGGAAAATATTTGCAAAATATACATCTGACAAAGGATTAATATCCAGAATATACAAGGAACTGAAACAACTTTACAACAAAAAAACAAGTAACTCAATTAAAAAATGGGCAAAAGAGCTAAACAGGCATTTCTCAAAGGAAGATATAGGAATGGCCAACATACACGTGAAAAAATGTTCAACATCACTCAGCATTCAGGAAATGCAAATCAAAACCACACTGAGATACCATCTCTCCCCAGTTAGGATGGCTAATATCCAAAAGACAGTGAATGATAAATGCTGGCGTGGTTGTGGAGAAAAAGGAACTCTCATACATTGTCGGTGGGACTGCAAAATGGTGCAACCTCTATGGAGAATGGTATGGAGGTTCCTCAAACAATTGCAGATAGATCTACCATATGACCCAGCTATCCCACTGCTGGGAATATACCAAGAGGAATGGAAATCATCAAGTCGAAGGTATACCTGTACCCCAATGTTCATTGCAGCACTCTTTACAATAGCTAAGAGTTGGAACCAGCCCAAATGTCAATCATCAGATGAGTGGATACAGAAAATGTAGTATATCTACACAATGGAATACTACTCTTCTATAAAAAAGAATGATATACTGCCATTTACAATGACATGGATGAACTCAGAGAAAATTATATTAAGTGAAACGAGTCACAGAAAGAAATATCACATGTTCTCACTTATTTGTGGGAGCTAAAAATAAATAAATAAATACACAAATAAACTGGGTGGGAGGGAAGAAGACACAACAACTACAATTCCTTGAAGTTGATACGACAAGCAAACAGAAAGGACATTGTTAGGAGGGAGTGGGGAAAGAGAGACGGAGGGAGGTTTTGGTAACGGACCATAATAATCAACCACATTGTATATTGACAAAATAAAATAAAAAATAAAAAATAAAATAAACAAAAATAAAAAAATAAAAATAAAAGAAAATCATAAGAAAGAAGAAATACACTTACAGTACTGTACTGTTACATTTATTGAAAAAAATCCGTGCATACATGGACCCATACAGTTCAAACCCACATTGTTCAAGGACCAATTGTATATGCCCAATGGAAATGTGTATATGTACACTAAAATATATGTAAAATAGTGTTTATAACAGCATCATTCATAGTCAAAACATGGAAACAACTAAATGCTCATCAACAGTAAAATGGATGAACAAGTTGCATAGTCATACACGGAATACCATATGGCAACAAAAATGAATGAACTACTGCTAACCACGACACAAATAAATCTCAAAATATAATACTGAGTGAAATTAGCCAGAAATTAAAGTGGACATACTGTATTATCCCACTTAAGTAAAGGAAAAACTAACCTGTGATATGAGAAGTAAATATGATGAAGAGGTAAGGACTGGGAAGTGGCATAAAGAGGCTTCTAGGATGCCAGTAACGTTATACATTTCTTGAACCGGGAGGTGGCTATGTGAGCATGTTTACTTCATTAAAATTCATCACACTTAGAATATATGCACAAAAATGTAATAAAACTTTTATTTTTAAAAAGCATATTTTTGACACTCAAAAGAATAAAGTAGAAATGTATTACAATCATTTCAATAGATGCAGGAAAAACGTTTGATAAAATTAAATATTTATTCACAATAAAAACTCCTAGCAAACTAGGAAAAGCAAGTAATGATCTGATAAAGAGGACCTAGATCTTCACAAAGAAAACAGCAACTAAAATAACACAGCGAGCATTATACTTAATGGTAAAATATTGAGGATTTTTTTTTTTACTTTTGGAAACAAAGGATACTTTCAATCATAACTCTTATTCAGTAGTCTATTGGACCTAGTAGTAAATTCATGGAAGCAAGTAAAAAAATAAAAAATTAAAATTGAAAGGAACTTTAAAAGCATATTGCTAAATGAAAGAAGTCAATCTGAAAAGGCTACATTCCAGATATATGACATTCTGGAAAAGGCAGAATGATGGAGATGGTAAAAAGACCAGTAATCGTCAGTGGTTCCAGTGAAAAGAAGGAAAAATGAATAGGTGGAGCACAGGAGATTATTTATTTATTTATTGACTGGTAAGGGGATCGCAACTCTCAGCGCGGTGTGGTCAGCACCACGCTCAGCCAGTGAGCGCACCGGCCATCCCTATATAGGATCTGAACCCGCAGCCCTGGCGCCATTGGCGCTGCACTCTCCCAAGTGAGCCACGGGGCTGGCCTGAGCACAGGAGATTTTTAAGGCAGTGAAATTATCCTGTATAATAACTACAATGGTGGATAGATGTCATTACACATTTGACAAAACCCATAGAATGCACAACACAGAGTGAGCCCTAATGTAAAGTATGGACCTCAGTTAATAATCATGTATCAATACTGGTTCATCAATTATAACTAAAGTACCACAGTAAGTACAAGATATAAATAATACAGGAAACTGTGCGTGGGGGGGTGGGGGGTGAGAAGGAGAAGGGGTATGTGGGAGGGAGATGGGGTATGTGGAAACTGGCTGTATTTTCCAATACATTTTTTCTGTAAACCTAAAACTTCTCTTTAAAAAAAAAACTACTGATTAAAAAAAAATTAAGACTGAAAAGAAAGAAATAATAAGCTATTATTCTCAGATAATAATATTGTTTACTTAAGCCATCCAAATAAAGCCATAATAAGTCATTAGAATTAATAGGAGATTTTTAGCAAGGTTGCTGGATTTTAAGTAGCAACAGATTAAAAATAAAAATTTAAAATAGATACTATTATAAACTATTCCTCAATAAAAAAAACACAAATTTAAAAAGAGGAAAAACATTAGATAATACTGCATCAAAATTTCACACTAATAGTGTGAAATAGCCCAGAAACAGATCCTTGCATATATGGACACTGAATATATGACAAAGGAAGCCCTCTAGTTCAGGAGGAAAGAATAGACTTTAGCATAAATGATACTTAGAATCCAAGATGGACTCCACTTGGGTTACAACTGGCAACTTGAGCTTCCCCTCTCCCCTAAATAACCAGGATTGAGAAAGGACGCCCAGCAACAGCATCTGCAACTTCAGATCTCAGGTGAGACTTGCGTTATACAGATCTCCAAAGCAGATGTCTCATTCTAAGGGGCAAAACCACCAACCTCTCATTTGGAATAACAGGGATGGCAACAAGAAATTCCCTAGATGCCATTTGTCATTATAAACTAGTAATGAAGGCACAGATGAATTGGAAAACCCACCAATATGCTTACTTACAAAAAGCAGTCTGTCACTGAGGCAGGCTAGAAGAGAGGGACTCTGAGTCATGAGAGTCCCTACAGCCCTAACTCTATTGTTTGTGGAGAAGAAAAGACTAACAAAACTCAGTCACTCTTCTGCCCTTTCTCTCATTTCCCTTCCAAATAAATACACACACAATCCTCTTTCATAAAGAGTTGCATTGATAATGATGGAGATTTCCAGCTGGTCTGGGACAGTACCCAGGCCCTGCCTCAACATTAACTTCTGTCAAACAGAAGTCCAAGAAGAATTCTCTCCTTTCAAAGATAAGTAGCAATTATGTTTTGTAATGTTGAATATGCTAATAATCCTGATTTGATCATCACATATTGTACACAAATACTGATAGTCAACTCTGTACTTCACAAAGATGTATAATCAATCATGTTTCAATAAAAAAAAGATGATTAGCAATAGCAATCATAGTGATAATCAAGCCAGGATCTACAAAAAAAGTGCTTAAGAAAAAAAAAAAGAAAAAACAATAAAAGTGGCAAATAAAGAATATTCACCAGAAAAGTGTTGTCATTAAGCAATAAAAATCTTAACTACACCATTTTACCATAAGCTCAAAGAACATAACAGAAGAAAACCAAAGGGCACAAAGCAAATATTCAAGAATGTAGAGAAGATATAAGCAGTTAGAAGAGATATAAATTCATGTTTTCATTCAATAAATAGTGTTTCCAATACCTGCCAAGTTCTTTTCCATATGCTAAAAATATATGACAGTACTTCAAAAAGTTTGTGGAAAAATAGAATTAAAAGATAATGGGAATCTTTCCATGAACTTATTGAAGTACCCTCCTAGTAGTGAGCAAAGCCAACACAGTCCCTGGCCCCACGAAGCTGACATTCTCGAGGAAATCAAGAAAAATAAAGAAATGTATAAAATGAAGTCAAGGAGTGAAAAGGCTATGAAGAAAACAGGACAAGGAAATGAATGAACGTGGGATAGCTGCTCTTTTAGATCGATAGTCACGGGAAGGCCTGTCTGAGAAGATGACATCTCAGAAGAGATCTGAAGCAAGTCACGCACAGATCTGAGAGAAGAGAACAGCGCTGTTAGAAGGAACAGCCAGTGCAAAGTCCCTGAAGTGGGAATCACCTGTGAGTGTTTCAAGAGCAGCAAGAGGGTAGCGCAGTTAGAAGAGAATGAGCTGGAGGAGAGAGGAAGGAAAAGAGGTCCCCGAGGAAGGCTGGACCAGATGACGCAGAACCTTAGAAGCTGTGGGACTGAGTTTAGATTTTATTATGAGAGTAACAGGAAGCTGCTGGATGGTTTTAAACATGAAAGTAACATGTCCTGATTTACATTTTAAAAGCAGACTCTTACCGCTTTGTGGAGCATTGATGATGGGGGGAGGGCTGAGATGGAAACAGGGCGTCTACTTCAGCAGTCTAGATGACGGTGGCTTGAACTGGAATGGTTGTGGAGCAGGCAGTGAGAAGTGGGTTGATTAAAGATATATTTGTGAAAGCAGAATTTATGGCATTTGTTATTAGATTATAAAATCTGAGAAAAAGAGAGACATCGGGGACAACTCTGAAGTGTTTGGTCTGAGAAAACAGATAGGAATGAAATGCAAAGCAACAAAATTAGATTTTATGTGTGTGAAGTTTGAGCTGCCAACTATACATTGAGCTGAATATATGATTCAGAGTTTAAGGAACAGACTGAGGCAGGAGAGATAAATATGAAAGTAATCATCAAAAAATATAATTTAAAGCCTTTTTCCTAGAAGAGGTCATCTAAGGAATGAATTTAGAAGAGAAAGAAGAGGTCTGAGTACCAAACATTGGGAGCTCCAATATTTAGTGATGAGGAAGAGGAGAAAGATCCAACAAACAGGAAAAAAGCAACTGGTGAAACAGGAGGAAAACCAAAGGAGTGGTAGTATCTCAGATACAAAGGAATAAAAAGGAGACACTAACAGTGTGAAATGCAGTGAGACAACCTTGATCTACTGAGCTGGTCAAGCTCAAGAAAAAAGTGTAAGAGAAACGCACACAGAGCTCACAGTAAGGGACACAGAAGATAGCCTGATAAATGTAACAACAATGAAATGAAAATGAACAGAAAGTTTAAAATGTCAGACAAAGAAGGTATAACAAATTCATAATTGATGCTCCTAAAGAAGAAAACCAAAAATGGTATGAAAAAATACTCGACTATTCAAGAAAAACTTTCTAGAAATAAAATAAGGGCACACAGTATCTCAGGAAAAATGTAGTCATATCCTTATAAAATTACTGAACGTTAAGTATGAACAAACAATCTTTGGGCACACAGGCTAAAAGGTTAAAGTTCTCTATAAGGGCAAAAATCAAGCTGGCTACAGACTTCTGCATATCATCATTTAAAACTAGAAGGTAGTAGGGAAAATGCCTCTACAAAGCTGTTATGGAGAAAATTTGTGACTCAAGAATTTTATATTTAATAAATCTGCAGTTCAGAATAAAGGCAATATGCAAATACTACCAAACACATAAGACCAAGGGAATGCACTTTCCATAAGCATTTCTTGAAGAAATTAGTAGACGTTGCTTGTCACCCAGCTAAGAAATAAATGGTTAAATTCCAGAATATGAAGTAAAAATAACTGAGTTGAGAGAGCAGAAAGAGGAGAGAAGGTGTAATGTAGTAAAGTATCTAATTTCCTCGCCCTTCATAACAGGAGTCAAAATACATTAAAATACACATGCAAATAGTACACACCAAGAAATACTCATAGTCTGGTCTTAGTTATGCCTTTAGGAAAGAGAAAATATATCTTAATTACGATGAACTAGTTTGGGAAGGGCCATGTTCCCTCTCCTCAAATTTGGAGAGTGGTTGTAGGAAAGAAAAGAAAGAACTAATAGCTAAAGCTAGCAATGCCCAGAACAGCAAATTTTATGCAGATATGAGACGGGAGGCAATGGTGTAGCAGAGAGCAAAAATGCTGCAGGGACACATTCCTCCTGCGGGGTGAATAGCTGGGGAACCCTTTGAGAGGGGGCTAATCACACAAAAATGTGTGAAGCATAAAAAAAGTGAAGCATATAATTTAAGAAATTAATTAAAAAGTAGCAAACAATACCTTCTTCTATAACAGTATGTTCCTAAAGCCTAGAATATATGGCTTACATTTGAGTGTAGAAACATTTTTAAATAGCTATTCTTTTAAAGGATATATTTGTTATTGGAAACAAGCCAGAATGGAGAACAAATGCCTACTTTAATAAATGATTGTACCTTCTTCCTTTCTAGTGGGCAGCTCGGGTAAAGAGGGATTTTTTTTTTATTCTAGGAAGATAACCTAATTGGGTTTGGCTAATATAATTCTTGGAATTACTGCAAATCTTTGAACAGCATAGCTTTGAACTTTGCGGGTCTACTAATATGAGGATTTTTTTCAATAAATATATTGGAAATTGAATGCATGATATACCTACACAGTTAAGTAAGTACCTACTGTTTGGTAGGCCATTAGTAGTTAACTACTACTTAAGTAACCATGCATGCCCCACCAGTGCGGGGTTCCGAGTGCACTGTGTAGCACAGTTGCAACCTGGGGGAAAGAGCACAAGGTACGTGAGCAGTTAAGTAATTAAGTTTGGGGAGAGTCAAAAGTTATGTGTGGATTTTTAACTGCGGTGGGGTTGGTGCCCCAACATCTGTGTTGTTCAAGGGTCAACTGTACTACCCTGTAAACAATAATGTCATATATTGTCCAGAAGTAGCTAGTTAGTGTGATTAGTTAAAAGTTATTTTAAAAGAGATTTGCATTTATTAATCATAATTTTTACCATACCAAATCACAAATATTAAGATCAACAGAGATAGGAGAGGAATGTATAAAATAAACCCAACGAAAGTTAGTTAGCTCAAAAGCAATGACTTTTACTTACTTATTGTAGTTCTGAAATGTTCACATTGTTCTAGGGGCTATTTTATATGTGAGTATAACAGAAAGCAGCTACCTTGTGATGTGTTGTTTCCCCCATATCTAAGAGTTCGATGATCTGTGGTCGGCATATCAACCGTGTATTTGCCAGTCTCTGCTCTGTGGTGAGGGACATTTCCTTCAGGAACTCCGAGGGTGTCAACTAGAATTTAAAACAGGAGCCAAAGATTCATAAGTGGTTACACTGAAAAATTGTTTTTATAAGTGCCAGTAATGAATAATTTGTGTTTGCAGCTTTCAGGATAGTTCTAGAATGCCACTAAGTTCCTAATAAAATATTTAAAATAACTAAATTATATAAGAGAAATACCCATGCACTTTTGAGGTCTTTACACAGTAATTCAAAATGACATGTGGTTGCTTTTTCCTTACGATTTTGAAGGAATCACACAAAGGAACCTAAGAGAAAAAAGTCAAGAAATTGCGCAGAAACATGTCTAAAGAGCTTAACATTTATGCTCAGAAGAGTCATCTAAACATAAGACTGTAAGTTTGTAAAATCACCTGGGGGGTTCAGAGCTAAGGAGTCTGAAATACTTCTATTTCTCTACTGAAGTTACAACATGCAAGCAAAGATTTGGGGTATTTAACTATCATGTTATATCATGTTAAAGAAAAATCTTAAAAATGTAAAGGATCTTGGATGTGTGATAGCACTACTTAGAAATGAGTTTGAACTTGCTAGAAATCACGAGCACGCTTAGATCTTGTTTTGAAAGAGTTCTAAGCTAATCATCAGATCTAGCAGCCAGTCACATTCACATACCTAAATAAGAACACAAAATGCTTCAACACTTTCTTGTGTTATGAGAAAAACATGTAACCTAGTATTTAAATAAAACTGACCCAACAAGGTATTGGTTAGCCAGAACCAATCATTATTATTTAGTTATTGTCATTCTAGAATGTTCACATGTTCCAGTGCCTACTTTATATACAAGGAAATTATGATCATTGGCCATAATGCTTTATATGCTAAGACTTTTTTAAACATTCAGGGGTATATAATTTAGTTGATTTATTTTGCTTTGGGTTACAGTCAATGCTCTTCAAAAATGCTTATTTTCCTACAAATTTGATTTCTCTGATTGAACTCACTTAAATTAAGGCATATTTATAAAATATTTATAAAAGAGGCATTGGCTATTTTGTGATACAAATTAAAATAATGAAGTCTTAAAAGCAAAAAGTCAAAACTTTCTTTAAATACAACTCCCATAAAAGAGAATGATGATTGATTTTATTTTTCTAATTGAAACGCAACTTGAGATTCATTTTTAAAATGTAATAAATACTATCCCCAGCCCTGTAAATTTTTATTAATATTTTCTATAGCTTGTAGTTTACATTTGATTCTCACCAAATCATTATAAACCATTAAAGCTATTGGTTTTTTATTTTAAAGGACAAAAAAATTATGTATTTTCCTAGATACCATTTAGTCATTATTTTAATGCTCTATGTTCTACAAATATACAAACAAAAATAACTCTTGCCAATCAACAGGTAATAAATTATTGGCTTGGATCCTATTAAATTCTGATATTTAACTGCTCTGAATTACACAAATGACAGTTTCACATGGTTCTGCTTAATATTTAGAAAACCTTAATAGTTTGCTTGTAGAGTCTTATGTCAAATGACTAATTTGAGCAATTCAAGCCTCTACTTTGAAGTATGTATGCAATATCAAAACTTCCCAGTCTTTTAAAGGTGCCTATGTTCTGTTATCCTGCTAACTAAATTGATATTTATAAGTCAATAATTCTCTATTTGATATTCTGAGAATGCCAAGTAGAAACTGTCGTTCTCTTGAGGAGACTGAATTAGGTATTTTACATAGAAATTCCTTGATACGTTACCATTTGATTTACTTCTTCTTCTGTAACCACCTTTGGACTTCGGGGTGGCAAAACCTTGCTTTGAAATCCTTTGAGCATTTTGACTAATCCCATCTGAACAGCCCCCATGGACTCCTCAAGTCTTCTACTTGTCATTTTATTATTTTTATTATTTTCTTTGTTCACCTAACAGGGAAAAAAAAGTTTTAGAACAAATACAGTTAATTCCTGAATGTAGGTTGTTGTTTTTGTTTGTTTGTCTTTTGGTTTTTTTAAAGCTTTTTCAAATTCAGGAAGGTTTAGTAAATACTGATTTTAAAAATACATCAAATTCTTGGGACAGATATCTTAAGGAATCTGTTCCATGTGACTAGTCTTAATTTATCCTTATCCCAAAATCTAGGATCCATTTTAGGCAGACTACAGGATTCCAGACTAAGCTCAGGAAGACAAGGAAATACAAGCTGTTCTTACATTTGCCACTTTTATCTTCCCAATGAGATAAACAAACACTGCCCAATAAATATACTAAATAGTTTGCTACTTTACCTACTTATTTGAAAGTTCTCTAATGACAACCAACCCTTCAAATGGAATAAACACAGGCTTTAGGTCTTCACAGCTGGGCAGAGACTCAAAATAGACAGCATGAGATAAGATGGAGAAAAGGAAGTTTCTGGAAAAGTTTTGAAGTTTATAGTCATAAATAAGCCATTAAACAGCCACCCACTATCTCTGAATCAAATAAATATGACATCTCCCTCTTGTACATCCTTCCTCAGACTTCTGGCAGGACATCTGCAACTTCAGGAACCCATCTATGATTAGGTACAGATTTCTCATCTCATTAACAACAGGCTAGGTTATTCGATCATTGCGCAAAAACAAAACAAAACAAAACAAACACACACACACAGAACTAAAAATGCTTGATAAAACACATTAAAAAAAAAACCCCAAAACTCTTAAAAGTCTCACAAGACAGTAAGGCACTACCAAATCAAAACATGGGGAAAGGAGAGGTATAAAAGAAAATAGATCTGAATAAAAATATAATAAGGTACACTGAAATAAAGCAATAAAACACCCAAGAAAATATAAATTTTTTAAGAAGGAAAAAGGGTCATTATGATAGAAAGCCTCTAAGATGGCAGCCAATGAAATAAATACAAGACAGTCAAGAAGGTCAGACACGCTATAAGTGGAGTCCATTAAAAGCATAGAAAGTACTGGGAGGGAGTTACTATTTAAAAGTATAATCCAAGAAAAATTTCCAGAAATAAAATACAATCAAAGGGCCCAGCAAGTATCCAGGAAACTTGACTGAGGATGATTAATTCTGAGTCATATCTCAGCAGAACTATTAGACTTTAAAGTTTTGGGGTTTTTTTTAATCCTCATAGCATTCAGACAAAAAGATAAAATAACTTAAAAGGGCAAGAGCTTTAGATGTCACTGAGCTTTAAAAAAGCAACCAATTAAGTTGGACGACAATGGAGCAGCATTTTCGAAAAATGTGTGAGCCAAGGATCTCATATATAGCAGAGCTCTCTCTTAATTATCAAGGCTACGAAAAAAGGTTTGAACATGAATATGAACTTGGGGGATATTGTAAACGTGGTTCCTTCCTGAGGAATCTGCTAGAGGATGGGTTTCATCCAATCAAAAGATGACCGGAGAATTTCAGCAAAAAAAACCTGACCATGAACATTTTATGTGTTTAACTGTAGAGCTAAGACTAAAACAAGATTGAGGACATGAGGAAAATATACTCAAACATTTTATTTTCTGAGAAGGTAGAAAGAATGCAATTTGAAAAGGAAAGGAAAGGAAAAAAGAGAAAGATAGCAGAAAGTAGAATAAGACCATTGACTATCACACATGTAACAGATAGCAGTCTAACTGACCAGATAGTATAAATACTTAAGTTAAGGCAAAAGCCTCCTCTAAGATGGCAGACAATAATACCTGTTTCCTGGTATTCATGTATTTGTGTAATCCCTTTCCCTTGAGTGTGGCCGTGCTTAAGTATTCACTTCTAATAAATAAAATACAGCATAAGTTTGGGGGTGTCATTCTGAGATTAGGTTATACAAACACTGTGGTTTCCATCTTGGGCACCTTCTGGCTCTCTCTTGGATCACCAGGTGCCATACTGTGAGGACACTCAGGAAATCTATAGAAAGACCCATGTACTGAGGAACCAAGCCTGCCAGCAACAATATGTGTGAGCTTGGAAGTGGATTTTCTTTTTTTTTTTTTTTTCCTTTTTGTCTTTTTTACTGACCGGTAACGGGATCGCAACCCTCGGTGTCGCGCCCGTACCGGGGACCGGCAACGGGATTGCAACCCTCGGTGTTGCGTCTGCACCGCGCTCAGCCAGTGAGCGGGAACCGGTCTCCACATGGGATCCGAACCCTCGGCGGGAGTGCCGCCGCGCTCCCAAGCGGCGCACTCTACCAAGTGCACCACCGGGCCGGCCCGGGAAGTGGATTTTCTGATACCTTCCATCAGATACATAAATGAGTTTGAAGGCAAATTTCCCAGCCCCAGTTAAGCCTTGAGATGACTGCAGTCCTGGCCAACAGCTTGACTGGAACTGTATGAGAGACCATAAGTAGAAAGCACCCAGCTAAGCCACACCTAGAGTCTTGACGCACTGTTTAAAGCTACTAAGTTTTGGGTGTTATGTTACACAGCAATAGATAACTAATACAAGAGTACTTCAAAAAGTTCATGGAAAAATCGAATTGAAAGATAATACAAATCTTTCCATGAGCTTCTTGAAGTACCCTCAGATAGGCACTATAAAGGGCGTGTATACAAAGAAAACTGTTGCAACATAAAGATAAACCTTCCTAAATACCCAAAGAAATATTAGGAAAAGGAAAGAGACACACTAAATAAAGACAAACAACAAATCAAGTGAAATACACACAATCATTGTAATATAAAATATGATTCAGTGGAGACAAAATATATCAGATATACCAATAAAAGTGAGTGGGATTAACTTGTCTATTAGAAAAAAAATATTCCAAATGGAATCATAAAGAAAAATCCAACTTTGTGATGTATACAATAGGCACACCCAAAAATACAGTGATCCAAAAAGCAAGACTATGTTTCTATTTTTGATGACTGCTAAGAGTTTTCAACTCCTATGACTCCCCTTCCTCTCTATCCTACATGTGGGCAAAGTGATAAGAGAGTCCAGATGTTCCCTCCTTTGGTGCTGGTAGGAAGTTCAAACAACACACAGCCCAGACTGCATGGGAATCCTCATTACAGCCCCACCCCAACCATGAAAAAAGTCAAAACAGCATCCTTTTTCAACTCTTTCAAGATATTTTTGAACTTGCTTGGGAACCTGACCTACTCTCCCAGAAAGCCCCATTATGTCAGTAATAACCTTTTCTTTTTTTTTTTTTTTTCCCTTTTTGTCTTTTTTTGTGTCTGGCAACAGATCGCGACCCACAGGGTCGCGCCCGTACCGGACTGGGACCGGCAACGGAATCGCAACCCTCGGTGTTGCACCCGCCCCTCACTCAGCCAGTGAGCGGGAACCGGTCTGTATGTGGGATCCGAACCCTCGGCGGGAGCACCACCGTGCTCCCAAGCAGCGCACTGTAGCAGTGCGCCACCGGGCCGGCCCCAGTAATAACCTTTTCTTTTTTTTTTTTTTTGCCCTTTTTGTCTTTTTTTGTGTCGGGCAACAGATCGCGACCCACAGGGTCGCGCCCGTACCGGACTGGGACCGGCAACGGAATCGCAACCCTCGGTGTTGCACCCGCCCCTCACTCAGCCAGTGAGCGGGAACCGGTCTGTATGTGGGATCCGAACCCTCGGCGGGAGCACCACCGTGCTCCCAAGCAGCGCACTGTAGCAGTGCGCCACCGGGCCGGCCCCAGTAATAACCTTTTCATATCTTCTAGGTGCATGAGTGGTATTATCAGTCCTGACGTCCAAATCGAATGTTGGTTGGGGGCCCCATTCTGTCTCTGAGTGGTGACAACAACAGAAACAATCAAGAGGGATTGTCATCCTGACTTAAAAATAGAATTAAAAAATAATTAAACAAAACAAGAATATTTTATAGTGATAAAATAATTCAAAATGAAGACGTAGCAGTTACGAATCTATGTATCAAACAGCACAAAAAACATCCATATAAGGCAGAAATTTCAGGAGATATAAGGAGAAATAAATAATAGGAGAGTCTAATATACTACTCTCAGTATAAGACATGTCAGGTGGACAAAAATAAGACCATAAAAGAATTGAACAATATAATGTATTAAATAGATTTAGGAATATATTAAATAGATTTAGAAAATGAAGTGTCTCATGAGCAAATGGACCAGTCACAAAAAATTTGATAATATATTAGGAAACAAGGAAAATATTAGTAAGTTCTATATAAACAATAATCTGATCACAATACAATAAAACTAGAAATTAAAAATACAAAACAAAAAAGGTCCATTCATCTGGATATTTTAAAACCTTCTATTAAAGAACAACATGCGTTAAAAATTCATGAAAGAAGCTAAATTCTCATTTTTGCTTATACAATTATAGTTACAAAGAGCTAAAAACATGGTGATATGAAATTCCTGGCAAAATTCCACATACATGTACACTTGACCCAGCAGTTCCTATTTTAGGAACATATTCAAATGATATACTGATGAAAATATAAAATGATACATAAACTAGTGAGAGTGGTTATCTATCGGGGGAGTGAAGTAACAGAGTAGAGGAGACAGGCATGTAAGAAAGATTTCTCTGAATGTACTTCACTGTATAGTGTTGACTTTGAACCATGTAAATGTTTTACATATCAAAAACAAAAGAGATGACAGAAAAAAATCAATTTTTAAAAATTGAAAACTGAAACAAATGACCCTTACTGTATATCAAGCTGGTATCATAACCACAAAGAGAAAAAAATATTCCAACTGACCTTAAAACACAATATTTTGACTGTACATTCTCAGTGGGACATGCTGTAAAAACAGAGACAGCAGAGAAATCTTACTGTTTATTCAGCAGTCTTACGTTGGTCATAATTTAGTGTTAATATTTTTAAAACAAGTAAGTAATTACATCAATATTGTTAGGAACCAAGTATTTCAGCACTTTAAAAAGTATAAAACCAAAGAAGTTC